CGGGGATCTAAGTAGGAGATCTTGGATAGAGAGGGAAAACAATGTGGAACAAAACTCAAAATCATTTTAAAAAAGGGGGGAGGCAGGTTTTCTGGTCTGATAGAGCCTGGTAGAACCAATGAGACTATGGCCCCTAGCTGCCCTTCAGGTCTGGTATTGAAACCACACCTGTGGCTTCCAGCCACACAAAAGACAGGCATAGGAGCTGAACATTTACCTGAGGTAGATACACTCCTTGGAGAGAACAATCACGTGAGAAAGAAGGGCTCTTTATGTACAGGGAGACAGCTTAGGGGCAGGGGTACACGGAAGGATGGACACAAGGTGACTGTCAGGAAGAAGTGGGAGGGGAGTTGTCGCATTGTGGTGAATTGTAGTCATTGTCATGAGACAAAGTATATGTCAACTGCTGTATGGAAAGTGAATTTCCTCTGTAAATTTTTCCCCAAATCAGTATAAAAACAAACAAAAAAAAAAGAAACGGCATTCAACTGTGTGGATCATAACTTATTACAGCTAACACTCAGAAGAACTGTAATTCCAAAACCATTCATTGTGCCCATGAGGAACCTGTATACAACCAAGAGGCAGGTATTTGAACAGAACAAGAGTATGTTGCATGGTTTTAAATCAGAAAATGTATGCATCAGGACTGTATTCTTTCACCATACTTATGCTATCTGTATGCTGAGCAAATAATAGAAGAACCTGGACTATGTGAAGAAAGTCACATCAGAATTGGAGGAAAACTAATTAACAACCTACGATATGCAGACAACACAACCTACCTAGCTTGCTCAAAGTGAAGTAGACTTGAAGCACTTACAGATGAAGATCAAAGACTAGTCTTTAGTATAGATTACACATCAATATAAATAAAACAAAAATCCTCCCAACTGGATCAATAAGCAACATCACAACAAACAGAGAAGACTGAAGTTGTCAATAATTTAATTCTACCTAGATCCACCCCCAACGCTCACGGAAGCAGCAATCAGGAACTCAAATATCGTTATTGCACTGGACAAATCTGCTGCAAAAGACCTCTTTAAAAAGTGTTAAAGAGAAACAATGTCACTTTTAAGTGACTAAGTGATTAAGGTATGCCTGACCCAAACCACTATATTTTCAAATGCCTCATAGGCATGTGAAAGCTAGACAGGAATAAGGAAAACCGAGTAAGAATTAATGCATTTGAACAGTGGTTTTGGTGAGGAATGTTGAAAATACCATGAACTACCAGAAAAGAAATAAATTTGTCTTGGAAGAGTACAGCCAACACACTCCTTACAGGCGAGAATGACCAAATTTCATCTCACATAATTTGGTCATGCTTTCAGAACAGACTAGTCTCTGGAGAAGGATATCATGCTTAGTAAAGTAGGGGGTCAAGGACAAAAGGGAAAACCCTCAAGAAGACACACTGACACAATGACCGCACTGATGGGCTCAAGCATGGCAACGATTATGAGGATGCTGCAGGATTTGGCAGTGTTTTGTTCTATAGTGCACAGGGTCACTGTGAGTCGGAACAATCTCAATGGTACCTAACAACAACAGCAACACTATATAGGATGCAAAAAGTCACCACTATCCTATAGCTAATCAGAAGGTCAGTGGTTCAAACCCACCAGCTGCTCCTTGGGAGGAAGATGAGGTAATCTGCTTCCGTAAAGATTTACAGTCTTGGAAACCTAATGAGGATTGCCATGAGTCAGAATCACTCAGTGGCAGTGGGCTTGGTTTCTTTATTTATTTTTTTAATATACCCTTTACAATGTACATCTACTTCTCATTTATCAACTATCTGTTATCCAACATTTCATATTTATAACAATAGAAAAAAATCTACTTAGATCACCTTAAAGTCAGGTGAGGCCCCACTGGTTTTGAGTTAGAGAATGCCTCCCTCCTGAGTACCAAAGTCCTTGATCTGTCCTTCACTGCAGACCTCAAGATCCACCATTTGCATGCTTGGGGGCACTAAGGATAGTGGGTGGCACTCCCGAGTGGGTTGGCATTTCCATGAAAAGCAAGAAATCTGCATAAGTCATGGTAGGCAAGTCCCCTCCTGGCTGCAAATTCTGACTCACTCAGCTCTGCCTATGGTTCAAAATGGTGCAAATCTACCTGCCCACCCAAAGTACAGAAGTCACTAGGCAGAGACAGAAAGGTGAATAAGCTGCAGATGGTGGCTGCAGGGGAGGGAGAACACCATGGAACCACCTCCAAAATAATTTCTGGAACCTGAGGAGTATTTTATTGCTGAAGTTTCCCACAATGCTAATTTTCACATAATGACCTGGTCTTTGGAACCTAACCATGTCAATAAGTGAGGAGTGGGTGTCTTACATTTTCATAGAGTCATAGGTTGGTGTCCCAAGATTCTCACTAATACCTCTATAGAGTTGATGAGTGAAGTATTATTATCTCCATTTCCTAGGTGAAGAAACCAAGACTCAGGAAAATTGATTAATTCAGTCATAAAATTACCTAATAAGTAGCAGAGAAGGAGCTCTGGTGGCGTAGTGCCTAAGGCATTTGACTACTAATTAGAAGACTGGCGGTTCAAACCCACCAGCCACTCCATGGAAGGAAGACTGGGCAATCTACTTCCGTAGAGATACCATATTGGAAACTCAAGGAGGGGTGGCTATGAGTTGGAATCAATGTGATGGCAGTGAGTCTGGAGTCTGATTTAAGTAGCAGAGAGCTAGAACTCCATGGCATACTGCCTCCCATTAAAAACAAGAATGACTATCCACAGTGCTCCCCAGAGCTGGTGATGCAGCAGTGATGGCGGACTATACTCAGCTATTTAACCCTTGTCATCCATCTCTCAACTATCAGTATTAGTTGCCTAGTGTGGCACAGTCTACTTCAGTAGAACAGCTGTGCATTTGCATGAAAAAACAAAATTTCAAATACTAAAAGTAAATCAGTGGCTGTTGCCTCATTAGTGCCCTGCTCTAAAGAAATAAGCAACTCTGCCTTTAACTAAAAAACTCCATTCATTATCAGATATAAAACAAGTATTTTAAAAAATTAAAATCAACTCACTCTTACCTCCACTGTTCCAGTAGCAAACAAGCCATGAACAGAATTTATGTCACAAACATTATTCTCCCTAAAACAGTAAAGCAATAAGAAAAAGTATTAGTTAACATTTACTTTAGGACAGAATGATTCAATAAGCTTTGTAAATAAACAGCCAATTGAAATTCTGTGAAGAAAGAAGATATACAGATTCTCTCTCACTCATCTGCAAATAAAAAAGCCAAGGCATCATAACATACTACACAAAACATTGTTCCACACCTTACTTTGGTGATCTTAAAAGATTGCAAATGACCATTCAGATGCAACAATGAGTCTCTCCTCACCCAGAGCAGAGTAGAATGAAGAAAACCAAAGATGCATGGAAACAATTAGTCCAAGAGACTGGTACACCATGCGATCTTCAGCCTATACGCCTATGAGACCAGAAGAACTAGATGGTGCCTGGCTACCACTGTCAACCACTTGGAGGGGAATCTCTACAAAAGACCCTAGATAGAGGGGGAGAACAATGTGGAACAAAACTCAAAATCATTTAAGAAAAAAAAGGAGGGGGACGCGCAGACTTCCAGTAAGATGGAGGAATAGGCAGACAAGCAACATAGACCTTCTTCAACACAGAAAAGGAAAACCAATTGACAGATATACAGAAGATCATCCTGGAGCCCTGAGCACTGAAAGGAACTATACAGAAGTGGATGAGGCACCAACTAGTGGAAAAACCTGAATGAAAACAGTTGAGTACAGAAACGGTCAGAGCTGCGGACTGTCAGCCACCCTGACGGGACCAACAACCTGAATATTTCCAACAGGTATTAGGACCTGAGAATGGACCTAAAGATCAGCACTGGTCACCAAGTGCTGCAGGGATGACTGCGCTGGTGGCCTATGACTAGGAAGGGAAAGAGCAAGGAGGGAGAAAAACTGAGCTGTTGACTTTCTGCTGTCCAGAGGGTGCAGCCATTTTGATTGTTTACACGCAGCAGCCATTTTGGATATCTAAAGTAAACGAGGGTGCAGCCATATTGGATATTTAAAGTGACCAAGGATGCAGCCATTTTGACTGTTTACACATGTCAGCCATTTGGATATTTAAAGTGACCGAGGGTGCAGCCATTTTGAATGTTTATAAGCGGCAGCCATTTTGAGTATCTAAAGTGACTGACGGCACAGCCATTTTGAATGTTTACATGTAGTGGCTATTTTGGATATTTAAAGTAACTGAGGGCGTAGCCATTTTGAACCTTAACAAGTGGCAACCATTTTTGATTTTAAAATGATAGCATTCTCATTCGGATTTCAGGGACCTAAGAACAAGCTCTGTTTGCCTGACAAGTTCAGCAGGGACATACAAAAGACTAACAACAGAAAAGGAGACAGGTGGTGAGTGTATAAGTGCTGTCAACAAGTGAATAGAAGAGCACAGTACCCTGCTTGCATAGATAACATACAAACAAAACAAATAAAATGAAAATCATGGGCAAGTCACTCCAACATACAATCACCAATTAAATATAAAAACAAAAACATCACAATGACTCCGAGACAACAGAGCATCACAGCTCACGCAAAGAAGCAAGATAGCAGGAGAAACAAGGGACCAAGATAAACCCCAAAACACATCCCTGAGGAAGAAACAGCACTGGAACTCCCTGATAAGGAATTCAAGAATCATAACAAGAACCGCTGTATGGAAAGTGAATTTGCTCTATAAACTTTCACCCAAATCACAATAAAAAAAAAAAAAAAGAAATATTAAGATATCTTCAACAAACTGAGAGACAGATAAAGGAAAACAAAGAGAAAACCCTGTAACAATTTTGGAAGACAATACAAGAATAAAATGACAAAATAAATGAAAAATCATAGATGATACAAAATCTACAGACAGAAATAGAGAAGATTAATACGAAATTTTCAGAAATAGGTAAGACCTTGAATGGGCAAAGGAGCAGAAATGAATCGATGGAAGACAGAATAGGTGACATTGAAGGCAAATACCTGAACACTTCTTTGGAAAGGGATCAATCAGAAAAAAGATCAAGACAAAATGAAGAAAGACTAAGGTTAATGTGGGATACATCAAAAGGAATAACCTATGTGTAATCTGAATTCCAGGAGCTCTGGTAGCATAGCGCCTAAGGCACTTGACTGCTAACCAGAAGGCTGGCAGTTCAAACCCACCAGCCACTCCTCGGAAGGAAGATGGGGCAATCTACTTCCGTAGTGACACTGCCTCGGAAACCCAAGGAGGAGTCACTATAAGTCAGGGCCGACTTGATGGCACATAACAACAAACAACAACAATCTGAATTCCAGAACAGGAAGAGACAAATAAAACCACAGACAAAATTATCAAAGATTTGTTGGAAGAGAATTTTCCTGGTATGATGAAAGATGAGACTATATCCATTCAGGAAGTCCAACGAACCCCAAACAGGACAGACCCCAAAAGTAAATCACCAAGACATATCATCATCAGAGTTCCAGTAAGATGGCAGAATAGGGAGAAAGACTGCATAGACCTTCTTCAACAAAGAAAAGGGGAACCAATTAACACAGATACAGAAGATAATCCTGGATCCCTCAGCTTTGAAGGTAAGGCTATAGAAGTGGACTAAACTCCAACTAGCGGAAGAATTTGCATGAAAATACCACAAAAGGAGACATATGGAGCTGCAGTCTGGCAGTGATCTTGATGGCACAGACAGCTTGGATATTGCTGAGTGGTGGTAGGACCTAAGAATTAACCTAAAATTCAGCCCTACTAGCCAGGGACTGCATGGAGGACTGCTTTGGTGGCTGGGGAATAAAACAGAAAGCAGAAAAGAGAGAGGTGGGCTGAGCTGTGGACTTTTGCCTGTCGAAAGGGCGCAACCATTTTGAATGTTTACAAGCAGCTTGACAATTTTGGATATTTAAAGTGACAGCGTTGTCCCAGGCTCCGCTTCCTGAGAACTAGAAAGACATCCTGGACACACAGACTACTAGAAAGGTACAACATTCGCCTTGTTATTCTTATACCCCACACTCTCTTGGTGAATAGAGATGTGGCCATCCTTCACTCCCACTCACCTTCTAGGCTGGCAAAAATTCCATCCTAGTCTGTGTTCTCCAACAGAGGCTGGGTACCTGGCCCCGCTCTGTCCAGATTTTTTTTTCTTTTTTTTAGTTTGTTTGTTTTTGTCTGTTTTAAAACTACCTCGGAAGAAAGATGAGGCAGTCTACTTCCGTACTGATACTGCCTCAGAAATCCAAGGAGGGGTCGCTATGAGTCGGGCCCTACACGATGGCACATAACAACAACAACACTATTATTATTACTTTTGTTCTTTTTATTATCATTCTTTACTCTTCCCAGGTTCTAGTTTTTAGCTTTTTTTATTTTCCATGTTCCCGGTTCTAATTCTTTTTTTCTTTCTGTCTTGTGGGTAACCCATTTCTTGTTTTTCATTTTGCATTTTTCTCATTTTTTTCTTCATTATTCTCCCTCTCTACATTTTTCTCTTACTGCCCTCTCCCCAGATATTGCAGGAGTTTTTGTTTTGCTTTGTTTTTGTTTTTTTCCCTTTATTCTTTTTTGGTAACTGTTCCTGTGATTACACGCTGTGTTTTTTATCCATTTGCTTTTACTTTTTTGATGGTTATTCAATTGTTATTTTTCTGCAACTGTGAGACAGCAACAGTCCTCATATGACATAACTACACCCACACCTCCTGCAGCTTCACTTACTGAGAGTCACCACCTCCTTCTCTACCAACAGGCCTAAAATAAACAATCCCCAAGAAAAGCCTGACTCACCTTTAGCTGCTCTTAACACACAGTTAACAGAGATCTAAATACAATAATGTCACAATGTCTCAGAGACAACAGACCATCACAGTCCACACAAAGAAGCAAGATAAAGTGGTTCAAACAAGGGAGCAGGATAGAGACCCAGAACACATCCCTGAGGAAGAAACATCATTAGAACTCCCTGATAAGGAATTAAAAAGCATTATATTCAGGTACCTTCAAAGGATTGAGAGAGAGATCAAGTAAAAAACAGATAAATCCCTAGAAGAATTCTGGAAGAAAATACAAGAACAAAATGACAAAATAAATGAAAAATTAGAATGATTCAAAACATACACACAGAAATCCAGAAGATTATTACTGAATTTTCAGAAATAGGTAACACATCAAAAGGGTAAAGGAGTAGAATTGATGCAATGGGAGACAGAATTAATGAGATTGAAGACAATTACCTGAATATTTCTATGGAAAGGGATCAATCAGAAAAAAGATCAAAACAAAATGAAGAAAGTCTAAGGATCATGCGGGAGACCATCAAAAAGAACAACCTACATGTCATTGGAATCCCAGAACAGGAAAAGAAAAATAAAACCACTTAGAAAATTGTCCAAGGTTTGTTGGAAGAGAACTTCCCTGCTATGATGAAAGATGAGAATATATCCATTCAGGAAGTCCAATGAACCCCAAACAGAATAGATCCCAAAAGAAAAACCACCAAGACATATCATCATCAAGCTCATCAAAACCAAAGACAAAGACAGGATCCTGAAAGCAGCATGGGAAAAACAAAAACTTATTTACAAAGGACAACCAGTAAGAATAAGCTCTGCTTTCTCAGCAGAAACCATGCAAGCAAGAAGGCATTGGGATGCTATATATAAAACCCTGAAAGAGAAAACTTTTCACCCAAGAATTATATACCTGGCAAAACTGTCCCTCAAATATGATGGTGAAATTAGGAGATTTCCAGAGAAGCAGAAATAAAGGGATTTGTTAAAAGCAAACCAACCTTACAAGAGATACTAAAGGGAGTCCTTTGAACAGAAAACCAAAACTAGCAAATAACAACCAACTATTAATACACAATATGACATAACCCAGAAACTACAGCTATGGGCATATCCAAAGTAAAATAAGCTTCCAAGATACTAAACC